ATAGAGAGAGCGAATTTACAAGAAGGTTGGATTAGTAAATATGAAGGGGGTTGGTTTTATTGGCTGGGTGGGAGGGTTGACAATTTCTCTACGGAGAGATTGCCACGTGTCGAGTTTATGGGTGGAATGGGGGGAGGGTTCGGTTCCGGCCTGCCTACTTAATGATGGCATGGCAAAATGGGATGAGGGCATGTGTTAGATTTGGATATATATACCAATGGAATTTTATAAGTTTTTGTGTACAAATTGGATTTAAATTTTAATGGGTTTTTGCGTTTGCGTTTGCGTTTGCGTTTGCGTTTGTGTTCGGTGGGAGTGATGGGGAGAGCTTGTGAGGAGGGGGCGTTTCTTCCGTAATTTGGAGGACGGCCCCTGATTCACAGGCTTCGCTCATAAAACCTTCTACATGGGACCCGCAAAAGTTTGTCCACTTTTACTTGTCATATTGTTCCAATCCTTTAAATAATCCACTAACCTTTTTAAAAAATAACTATAAAAACGTTAAAAAATAATTTCGGGTAACGATTTAGTCATTAAAGTTTAGATCGTGTTGATTTTGTCCATCTACTTTCAAATTAGTAACAATTTAGTTTGAACTTTGATTTAGTCATTGTAATTTAAACTTTGTAATATTCTAATTCTTATCGTGATTTTCTTTTTAGTTTCTTATATGTATAGATTGATAGTTCAACGAGGGACCAAATATGTTTACAAATTAGAAAAATTAAATTGTTATRTGATAAAACTTGACACTTAATTTTAGTAAGATTTTTCATGGTAGAGATTAAATTATTMCAGGTTTTAAATTATAGGGACTAAACCGTTGCACATTAAAGTATAGGGAATAAATTGTTGCTTTAGGAGTTTGGTTTATAAATATGATAAAGCGTAACTTTTGTATGACTTACCAAATAAGGTTTAATTTAATAATTAATTGTTATAAATAAATAATAAAAGGAGCTGATTATTATCATATTTTGCACTTGGCGACTAAGGATTGAACAATGGCAATATTCGCCTTGATATGTGTCATTGAGGCGAGAAATATGGAAGTTCTGTTGGGAGTTGGCTTATTATTTGGTCAGAGAAGGTTAAAGTGAGTTCTGGAAAATGCATGGAATATACGAGGGGAGGACTTATTTCATTTAGTGAAAGGCATGCCTTTTTTCGGGCAAATTCCATGTGAGTTGGATTGATATAACTAACAATCTTAAAACTTAAAAACAAAGTTAATTTTAAAGGAATTTATGATCTTAATACGATCRAATAAATAGATTAGTTTAAGCTAATAAATGAAAAAAAAAATGATATTGACAGATGACATTACTCAAAATCACACAGAAAAATTATATCATGTGGTTAGAAATGTAAGATCCTATAATCGATCGAGTTAATTAGATGATGAAGTAGTAGTTGGCTTTGCTAGTTCCAATCCTAGGATGGCTTAAATTGGATGCATCTAAGGAGAGAAATACCATAATTCTATTTAGTTGAATATCAAGTAAACATCAACAACTACTAGTACACTTACTCAAATTTGTAAAATTCATTGAACTCTGAGCTTTATACTATATAGTTGAGCTAATAATAATTAATGTGAGAGTATCAACAATTTAGTATAAAATACAATTTTTTTTATTTCTCTTATGTTTCAAAGATTATTATTTATTTCGTTGGAATTAATTTTAATTTTATTATTTGATTGATATTATATCTATAAAGATGAGAGAGAGTCAAAGAAAGAGCACTAAAATAATCATGAACTATCTTATAAGTCAGTCATTTCTAATCTTCATCATATACATCCATATCATACATATACATTTGCAATTGCCATTCTAATTTTTAAAATAAATTAACAAACAAGAATTGAAATTTGATATTTATGCAATCCATATTATAATATTTATCTTAGTACAACAATCCATATTACAAGATCAACTACATGGTACGAAAGTAAAATTTTAATATTTTTCTAGCGGTACCACTTTAATAATAAGTTGTGCTAATTTACTAAATTAGTTAAAATAATTGAAATTCACATGCTATAAAAATAACAATTTTAAAATTTAAGAATTGGGTCATTTTATCAATAACAACTAAGAAAATTTGGTCACTTTTTGCCTTTTTTAAGTAATCARGTTTACGTATAGATCRTAATTAATTTGAAATAAGTAAAAGACATTGTTCAAACCATAATTCATACCCATCAAACCTTCTAGAAACCTTCCATTAGTTATTTAAGCTATAGAAAGGACTTAATTGGAGGATCTGTATCCTCTAAGTGAAGCAATCATGATAAATATTGGCTGAGGACACTCCAAAAAAAAAAAAAAAAAGACTACTCAAATAAGAAGCACCAAAATCTTTTGCTTTCATTTGGGATTGTGTGCAAAGAAACAATAAAAAAAAAAACTCACTTTAAATTACGAAAAGAAAATGGATCAATCAGAAGAGGAGAGAAGAAGAAAAAAAGGTCGAGCATCCATTTATTTCGTGCTGTCTGTCACCAAACTTAAGTTTTCCATTTGACGTTTAACACCTTTCAGTAATCTAATCAATTACCATCATTAATTAGTTACACCAAAAAAAACAAAAAACAAAATTCCACTAATTCCACCTTTATAAAAATTAAAAAAAAAATTGTTGTGAACATAGTTCAAATTACTWSATTTTCTTATTATTGRAAGTTCTAAGTAACCACTTAGTCATTATACTTTCAATTTGTAATAATTTAATCTCTCAAATTTAGTATGTAATAATTTAGTTATTGTAGTTTAAAATTTATAATGGTGTAGTCCCAATAGTAAAAAATATTGTTAAATTTTAATGGAGTTTCTTATATATATATATAGATACGAGGGACCAAATATGTTTATAAAGTACGAATACTTAATCGTTACATAATAGAAATCAATACTTATTTTAATGAAATTTTTTCGGATTAAATTGTTACAATTTTTAACGATGGACAAATTATATAAAAATTAGGGAAGGGATTCAAACTCACAACCTCTTAATTGAAGTTATATGCTAATTACCACTGAATTATACTTGCTTTGACAATTATATAAGAAATATGGAGKMAAAAATTTTAACATGCTAAAACGAAGTATCTTGAACCATGCTCAAGTTTAACAAAAGTATATTGACTTATATTTTGACGCACATTTATTAAATACTATATCAATTATCAAATTTTGGAATAAATAGTCTAAGATTTTCTTTTTCTAACGTGTATTAGCAAAGAGAAAAATAATAAGTTTTGAAGGTTTGGAGACTAATGTAAATTTTAAAAGTATAAAGATCGTAAATATGACTATTATTATTATTTTTAAATGGGGACAAAATGGCTTGTTGCGAACTGGCGCAACTGAAATCCTGAAAAGGTCATTTCCCAAAAAAAGTAATTTTGAAAAGGTAAATGAATACTCGGCCGACTTTTGGTGGCTGTCGGTGGCRCTTCTTCTCTTTGAGATTAATTTAATTTAACAAATTAAATTATTTTAAATCAATTCTCCGAAAAAAAATTATTTTAAATTCATAGGTTAATTTTTTTTTTCTATTTTTGTGTTGAAATTGTAAGTTATAGAATTTTAGTCATTTTGATGTGTGCTCGCTTATAATTTTAAAAAGTTTCCAAATGCAGTTTTCTTAATTTTAATTTGGTTTTTATAATATTTTATGTATCAATTTAGTCCTATAATTTAGAACATTATTTAATTTGACAGTATAAATAAAGATGYCTCTATTAAATTTCATTTTTTTTATAGTTTAGCGTTAAATTAATCAAACTATAGCAAATTAAAATGAAAAAAAAATTGGCTATTCGAATGGTTAAAAAACAATATATAGATGATTTGTGGAGTTTAATAAAACTATCCGATGAAATTAAAATTCTTAAAATTAAGGAGTCCTCGTTGAAACAAAATTTGAAGTTAAACCATAAAGATAAAATTGAAAATTTTAAAACTAAACCATAGGTAGCAAATTTAACRAGAACTATRGAATCAATCAGTAAAACTGAGAGTGGAAAGCATGGCAAAGTAATACTTGCAAAATGAAAATACTAATGCTTCGCTTGCAAGACTGTTAATGGCGGCAAGGCAAGGCTTCCCTCACACGCAAGTCACGTGCCTCGTCTCTCCCTCTTTGTTTTTTGTTTTTGTTTTCGTTTTCTTTATAGTAATAAATTATTATTATAATAATAATTATTATTTCTTTTGAGCAAAAGAAAAAAGRAAAAAAGTAAAGGTAGGAAGCGAACCATCCGGAAAGTGACAAGTGCAAGATGAGAGCTTTTATTGGTTGTGCTGAAAAGCCACGTAACCAGGTTTATTATATTTGAATGGGCATGGAGTTGC